ACTGTGTGTTGAGCTGCCTGATATTAAGTGTTATTGGTGTAAAGCTACATGATGAGCCCGAGCGTGTTGTTTCCTCTGAGCTGCTGTGTGACCTCTGAACTCACGCTGAACGGGTCCGCCTGCTCCCAGGGGATGGGGAAGCCCCAGGACGTCCTCATCTTGTCCGGCAGAGACTCGGGAACCACGAAGAACACGAAGGCGATGTCGGCCACCGCGATCACCGTGGCCACCAGGACCACCAGGCTGTCGCCGTACTGAGCCGACAGGTAAGCACCGATGGCCGGACTCGTCACCAGGCTGGCTGCAAAGGTCGCTGAAACCTGGTGGTGGGGGGGAGACGAAAGATTTAAACACCAGGTCTTTAATGTTTGGTTCAGTGTGAACGACGTCAACTGAACTCCTCCCAATGAAGCTCTGTTTGTTTGTGTTTAGATTTTTATTTATTAAATTTAAATAATGTTTTAAACAGTTCATGTAATGTGACGCTGTGTTCGGGTCATTGTAGGTAAAAAATAATCAAACTACAGAGCTGGAGGAATATGTAATATTCAGATTAAAAGTAAAAATGTGTTTCTTCCCGTTGACAGTTTATTACTGCTGCAGTGGAACAACTGATCACATTACACTCTGTAATTAGATTCATCTCTCAGGAACTATCTCTGATGTCCTCCTCAGAACCATCACGTTATCATCAGCATCCACACTTTGAGACGATGATGTAACATAACGACAGGAAACACCACGGAGCAGCTCTGCAGAGCTCCATTATCCACCCACAGAGTCTCACAGTGAGAACAGACCAGAGCGCTCTGATCTGTGACCTCCTGTGGAGCGACCGACAGGCTGCGGGGGGGCGTGTAGTTACCAGGCCGTAGGCCGTGCTCCTCTCATGCTCCTCCGTGATGTCGGCCACGTAGGCGAAGATCACCGAGAAGGTCACGGCGAAGATCCCCGAGATGGAGATCAGAGCAAAGTACCACCTGCACACAGACAGGAAGCAAAGAATGTGACGTGGTTCATCTATAAACATCATGATGTGAGTTCTTATGGTGAAGGGATCATGTTGAGAGCAAATCATGTGATGTGTTGATGATGTTCACGTTGCGGGAGAACAGAGTCCGACGCATTTTTAAAATTTTATAT